ATAAGTGTACTTTTCTCACTGGTCCATGGCATTTTAAGAAGTGGGTTGTGCCTCCCAATCTGTTAAGTACATGTTAACATTCACTTCCTTCTACAATGATCAAACATTGTGTAACTATTTAGAGACCTTTAAAATGGGTACTGACAGTATAGCATCTGTAAGGGAAACTTCTGTGTAGAAATGCAGTAGGAGTCACCGACTCAGGAAAGAGACATGGGAAGAGCAGGAGCTTTGATGTCAAACACTGATGGTTTATTTGGAGCTTCGGCCGGAGAATTCACATCACAAGTCACAGCAGCCACGATCTGACTGCACGGTAGAGTTGCCACGTCAATTCTGAAGAACTCTACCCCAGACCCATGTATTTAGCTAGTTCAGAGAGAATAATCAACATGCTGCATAACAAGATAGAATCATAACACCTCTATTAGCTGACGCCAACAGGCAGGAACAGGGAGACAGAACACTGAGAGCACAGCAGCCAAGGTTACGAGGTGCGTGTGCTCAGTCAGGACAGTTTGAACTGATAAACTGGGTCAAAGTTATGGGCCTTGGAAAATATTTCCCCAACAGCATCTACCTTTTCTAACAGCTGATGTAGCCCATCTCTGAGTTGTACAACAAGAAACTGAACTGACTACACACGTTTACAGATGTAAGTGTTTTGTTTTCAAACTCCTATTCCTATTAATTTACTATGGATCTAGAAATGTTTAATACAAACAACCTTTTTTTTTATTAATGAAAATATATATACTTTTAGTCCCACAAAAAAGAAAATTGCTCAGTTGATGGAGCTCAAAAAGCTGAATGCATTTCTTTTGCACAGTGTGTAAATGACAAAGACAGTACTACAAAGATTTTCCCATTGAAAGCAACATTTCTTTTCTGACATCCCTTACACTAAACATTGTGCATTATATTATATCAGGCTTTCAATGTAGAGCCATGGCTTCAATCAATGCTGTTGATGGACATCCCAAAACTCCGCTAGCATTTACTGTTCATAAAATAATTAAATGTTTGGGTTTTTCTCCTATAAAAAAAACAGCATTTAAAAGGTTTAAATTCTGAAGTTAAATTAATTTGATTATTTGAATAACATTTTGGAGCCATTTAATTATACGTTGTACTGTATTACCCCCTTTTGAGAGTTTTGTAATGTTCCCTCCTTCCTGCTTCAATAGAAGAATGGGCATTTAGAATGAAATGTTCAAATCATTTTTATTTGTTCGTTACATCAATATCAGATAGAGATGGTAGAACAAATATGATTAAAGATTACCTCAAGGTAGACAGTGTTCTTGCGTGTTGTAACAGTGCTTTCTTAATTGTCCATGCATACAGAGCTGTCATGCAAACAGAAAGCCTTACTCTGACACAAAGCAAACAGAAACGCTTGCCCTGATGCACAACAAACAGAAACTTGTCAAGACAGTGAACCTTAGCTGAACCTTTTAACCATTCAGGGTGAACTGGGGACTAGACAGAAAAAGGGTCTCTCTATATCTTCAATTCTTTTTCAGAGGTTCTCTGTCGATTCAGGCTCCTTCAGATTCTCTGTATGTGTTATTAACTAAAACTAAATACAGTCAGTATTCTTAGGTCTGTAGGTAATTGTTTGTAATTAATAAAAGCTTGACGCAAACAAGACAACAATGAGACATAAATCGAGTTGCATACTTTTATTAGAGTAAATGATAAATATTATCTCTACAAAGGCAATTGATTTAAAAGAAATAGAATGATTGTTAAGACAGTATGGGAAAAGAGACTTTTACAGTCTATCCATTAATGTGACGAGTGACGTTTCTTTCACACCAGTGTGGAGCTTCGCCTCCTGCGAGCAGGTAGTGCAGCCGCTGAAGTGCAATCTGTGTGTCCGCAGCCACACTCTTCCACATGGATGTACGTGTAGGGAACCACATCTCCATTCAAGCAGTGCAGGTCAATGGTGCGATTGCTGGAGCGGGTCTCCCTACAGCAGGAGCAAGAATGCTGCATAGCTGCTGCTGCTTTAGAGTACCTAAAGATAGCAAAGACAGGTTGATTAAAACCTACATAAACCATGTCTAAACTTTTTTAATAGTCCAAAACCTAATGGATTTGTCACTGTTTAGAGGAAAGATAAATATTAGTAATATCATCCTTACTTGGTGAAAGTGTTGCACGTTCCTTCACAATATGGTATTTCTACCTCATTGTATGACTGACAGCCCTTGTGCATAACAAATGTCTTTGTGGAAACAGTCTTGCAGCCCTTCTCCCTCTCCAAACCTTTTAGAAACAGACACACAATTATAACCATTTTCCTTAGAGGACCATAGAGTGAAATATGTTTTCAAACGTCATACTGTACCTGATCATTACCAGTATTTATTTATTTATTTTCAGAATGTTAACCCTTTAAATAACAGTTTACTTACATAATGCTCGTTACAGTATGTTTTATCAAATGTGTATCTGTACATCACATGCTATTAAGATCCGTATAAGAAATGCTAAGTCAATAACAAACAACATGATTGATGAATTTTAGTTTTTTGAACAAAAATCCAGGGACATTTTGTGAAGAAAACCAGAAAATTAATAAATGTATTTGATATGGCTTCATATGGTGTAAATAACGTTACAATTTCAGTTCTGAAGTCAGGGCTCTAGATTAAAGCCGTGATATAATAATGCATGGTTTTATGCTATAGGGGCTGTGGGATCACACATTCAGATTTTCCTTAAGGGTCTGACTGTAGGTTATATATATATATATATATATATATATATATATATATATATATATATATATAATTGTATGCAATATTGAACAACTTCTAATTCAAACATTTCATTTTGAAGGCATCTACTTTCTGTCCAAGACTAAAGAAAATGTCACACTCACAAATTTTACAACAGCCATCTGCTGAAGTCTGAACTGTGCCCTGCAGAGAAATAAATTGACATTATTTGTTTTAACATATGGTCTCAGAAAGACAGAAAATGTGGTGTCATCAGTTAAAATTGATAAATGATACTTACAGGTATGCAGTTGCTCTGTTGAAATGGTGGGCACACAATATGGGAATTGAACGTCGTTAAAGTATCACCAACCTCAACACAGGTGTAATGCTGACACTTATTCTCAGGTGGTGACCAGGTATCTCCTGGCTGAGAAGAGAGAAGGATGTACACACAAACACACACACACGCACGCACGCACGCACACGCACACACACACACACACACACACACACACACACACACACACACACACACACACACACACACACACACACACACACACACACACACACACACACACACACACACACACACACACACACACACACACACACACACACACACACACACACACACACACACACACACACACACGACAAAGCTGGATTACGGACAGATATAAAAAACAAGGTACTTTTTAAACATTATGATGTGAGGTAGTAGCCAGAAGAGATGATCCAATATACCTTCAAGAGCTGTTTAGTTTCGTTTAGACTGACAACACAGTGGGTCTGCACACATTTTCCACAGCACTCATCTGAATCAGGTACCAGATATTCATATCCCTAAGGGAAAGGATGAATTTAAGTTGCAGAAGTAGAGTCCAGTTCACTCTTACAGAAAACAAAGTGAGAAAAACTACATGTATAAAATGTATTGTGTGTATTTGTAAAATAGGTGTAATTTCACTTACCATGCCACAGTCTGTTTTACATTTCTGCAATTCACATGTTATCTTGAATAGTTTAGAATCTTGGTCCACCTCATTGGTACAGAGACAATCCTGGCATGGTGCTACAGGAACTAAAGAGCCAGGCTAGCAAATAAAGAAGACATTTATTCATACTTGTGTTTTAGCCATACAGAACATGTTCAGCAGAAATTATAATGTCAGAAGTTGTACAGTATATTAACAAATCATTATTTATATATAAATATACGTATATAGACTGTATGTACAATAATTACATATTTGCATTTCTTATTTACCTGGTATTCAGAGTTTTTGTGGACACATACTCTTTTTGGTTCTAGGAAAGAGTAAGACAAGTTAAATCGTATCACAATCATCTTTAGCTTTTATTTTACATTAAAACTATTACAAAATAATGATCTCACCACATATATGTTCTGGACAGCATTTCCCCTCAGGAACACTGACAACTGGAATATATCCTACAAGACAGTTCATGTTTGTAGGTGGGCAAGTGTTGCTGTGACATTCTGTGGAGAAGATAAAACGGTGAAAGAAAATAGTTAATAGCCATGAATATACTTATCAATATGTATCATTTTCCAAACTCTGGAGGACAAGTGTAAAGTGTAAAGTGTTAACTTCTTCGGATGTGTAATTAGCTAAAGCTTTGTTGTTTATTGATATCAGACAATGACACTACAGATTATTCAATTATTAATTAAATATTTCGTTTTGTTATTGCATTCATTTGTATAGTACTGTATCATGTCTGTATCATCTTTTGTTTCATTTGTATTTTCTTTGGTTTTACACGCTCGAAAAAGAATTTTTTTTTAAAATAAACTAAACAAACATGCATTGATGCTATATGACTTACCACAAACAAAGGCAGAACAGCAGGGGTCTGATGGATTAGTTGTGTTGACAAGGACAAACCCGGGACCCATGCAGCTTGTAACCGGTGCAGTTGGGCACTCTTTAGGCTTGCAAGAGACAGTCTTGGTGGACTCGTCACAGATGCAGCTTTGGCATTTGTACTCAAACCGCTCATTGAACTAGAAGAATAAAACAAAGTTATGAGTTAATTGTCTTTTGCAAGTAAATAACTTTGTTTGGGATTTCAAATTAAAATGAATACAAGACTCACCTCACGAGGATTTCCCTCAGGATCAAGACATCCTGTTGAAAAATGGTCACTTAATGATTAATACGATAGACTCTGCTCAACGAAAATATTTCAGAATATACAACACACTTACCGCACTTATCAACACATATGCCAGACTCCTTGTTAAATAGTTTCATTCCATCAGGACAAAAGCAGCCCTCAGTAGTGTAGTTCATTCTTGGTTCATTAGAACTATAATATTAAATCAAGATAGAACATTGAGTTTGCTCTATTTCTTTTGGATCTCTAAAACATAGTACATTTAATACACTGTATGTTGCAACTATGTTGTTCACAACCAAATAGCTATTGCTACCATCCATTATCATCTTCATCTCAGGAAATCTAATGTGCTGTAAAATTAACTTTTTTATTAAACTTACTTGTCTTCACAGGTTGGCTGTTCTGCAGGACCACATGGCTTGTAAACTTTGTTTGAAGGGCAGTCACTTTCTGTGAGTGAAAAAACATAATAAATACATAAATAAAAAGCATCAATAGCAGTGCATCGCAACACCCCTAGCAGTATAATAAAATGCACAACAGCCTGTTCAAATTGTGCTGGATGCAACAAAATTAAGAAGGCGCTTCCTTCCTTGGTTCCTCTGATCTCTGAATGTACAGTAAAAACAATGAGGAGTTGCCTACCACACAAAGTGGTGTAGTTTCTCCAGTACAGGCAAACCCCAGCCTGCGCACAGGCAGCAGCATAAGTCTGCAGACTTGTGCACTCCACTGCTGGGTTGGAAACATGACAGCTGTCAAAAACACAACCTTGGTAGAAATTGTCAGGAGAGACAACTGGATGGCACGCTTCAAAGACTCTGTGAAAGTAAAACACACACCAAAACCTCACAATGGTGTTTTAAATACAGTATGTGAAATGTATGCTGATGAATGTGAACTTTCCAATTTAGATTGGAAAACGTGTACCTGCTCTTAAGAAGGTGACATATGGAGTCTGGCTTGCAGGGAGTTACAATTGGTGGAGGTCCAGGTTTATTGGTGGGTGGTACAGATGGTATTTGGCAGTCAGGTTGTTCAATGTGTTTTGCAGGCCAAAAGTCGGCCATCACTGCACAATCTTCGACCAGCTGACCTCCAGGCAACTTGCAGTCATCAGCCTGGTTGTTATTGCATGTGCCTGATGGTAGAGTGGCAAAACACTTAATATTACAGTTTGCAAACAAATAAATGATTGTTATGTGCACTGAAGAGAAGTATGTTCTTACCACAATGCCCCTGTGTGTTGCTGCCAAAGTTACTATATGGAAGGGTGACACTAAAGCCAGTTATTCCAAATGTAATGACCACTTTAAGTCGAGGGATTTCCAGAACCAAGTTGATGCCAGTATCCAGGATCTTAACACCTTGTTGGGCATAAGGTAGTTTCAGACGTATCCCATTTTTATGTGCCTACAAGGAGAAAAAGGGAATCAACTATACAGTATCAAAATAAAAATAATCTATAAATTGTGACTAAGCATTCATCAATGCCATTGCACCTATTTTACAGTCATCTACGTAAGTATTTCTGGTTGGCCTTTAAGAACAAAAAAACAAATATGCATTTATCTATATATATTGTTTTACCTCCAGCTGCGCTGCTCCAAGAAGGTTATGATTAATGAGTGTGAAAACTTCGGATTGGAATGATATAATTATTGATCGCGGACAAGAAACATCTTCAGTGGGATCACAATAGACATTGTCAATATAAATGTTCAACTTATGTTTTGGGGAAATCTCTTCCATCAAAACGTAAGTACAGTTTCCTTGATAACTGTAGAATAATCCATCAAATGTGATGTAATGAGGATCTCCCCAGCCTTCACATACACCTGAAAAGAAATACAGTTCAAAAGTTGAAATCATTTTAAACAGAAAAGAAACCAGTTATTATATGAATCCTTTAACTACAGAATGGCTTACAGTCACAAACGTAAAGCTTGCAGCATTTGTATTCATCATCCACAAGAACTGGTTTCTTTCCATTGGCACAAGTGATCATCTCAAGGGGTGGACATTCATATGGAACGATTTCAATGGTGTTGTTCTCAATGCATTTAGCCATAGTGCAGTTACATAATAAGAACGTCTCATTTTGCTGATGGAAGGAGGAAAAATTATTGAAATCAGTATTGTGCAATAAATGCAAGTATAGATTTTAACGTGCAAGATACATTAAGATTCTTACTGCTACATCCCATTCAGGGCAGGTAGGTATAGAAGTCGTGGGTGTCGTTGTAGGCATGGTTGTGGTTGAGCAAAGTACAGGCTCCTTGTGAATCTCACAAATATCCGAACAAATCATTGTGAGACATATATTGGATCCGATGTGTTCGATGCCTGGTATGACCTCCCCTAAAATTGGGAATGAAGATAAGGAATTGATTAAACTGTGGAAACCCTTACAATAACCATTTGAGAACTCAAAGAAAGTATAGTTGTACTTTTTTCTTACCTGGCCTATAATGACTTCCATTAAATATACAGAAACATTCTGTAGTTGCAATGATAAGTTCTTGAGTTGGTGAAATTGCTGGCGTTGATGTTGATAAAGTGGGGCCAGTTTCAGGTATTGTCGTTGTGGTTGGTGTTTCAGCTTTAGTTGTAGGTTCAGATGGTGGGGTTGTGGATGCTGTGGTTGTAGTTGATGTTCCAGTTGTTGTAGTGGTAGGTTTAGTTGGTGGGGTTGTCAATTCTGTGGTTGTGGTTGGTGTTTCAGTTGTTGTAGTGGGTTTAGGGGGTGGGGTTGTAGATGCTGTGGTGGTGGTTGGTGTTGCAGTTGTTGTAGTGGGTTCAGTTGGTGGGGTTGTAGATCCTGTAGTTTTGGTTGGTGTTGTAGGTGTTGTAGTGGGTTCAGGGGGTGGGGTTGTAGATGCTGTGGTGGTGGTTGGTGTTGCAGTTGTTGTAGTGGGTTCAGGGGGTGGGGTTGTAGATGCTGTAGTTTTGGTTGGTGTTTCAATTGTTGTTGTTGTGGGTTTAGTTGGTGGGGTTGTCAATTCTGTGGTTGTGGTTGGTGTTGCAGTTGTTGTTGTAGTGGGTTTAGTTGGTGGGGTTGTAGATCCTGTAGTTTTGGTTGGTGTTGTAGGTGTTGTAGTTGGTTCAGTGGGTGGGGTTGTAGATTCTGTGGTTGTGGTTGGTGTTTCAGTTGTTGTAGTGGGTTTAGTTGGTGGGGTTGTAGATGCTGTGGTGGTGGTTGGTGTTGCAGTTGTTGTTGTAGTGGGTTCAGGGGGTGTGGGTTGTAGATGATGTGGTTGTGGTTGGTGTTTCAGGTGTTGTAGTGGGTTCAGGGGGTGGGGTTGTAGATGCTGTGGTGGTGGTTGGTGTTTCAGTTGTTGTGGGTTTAGTTGGTGGGGTTGTCAATTCTGTGGTTGTGGTTGGTGTTTCAGTTGTTGCAGTTGGTTCAGTGGGTGGGGTTGTAGATTCTGTGGTTGTGGTTGGTGTTTGAGTTGTTGTAGTGGGTTCAGGGGGTGGGGTTGTAGATTCTGTGGTGGTGGTTGGTGTTGCAGTTGTTGTAGTGGGTTCAGTTGGTGGGGTTGTAGATCCTGTAGTTTTGGTTGGTGTTGTAGGTGTTGTAGTGGGTTCAGGGGGTGGGGTTGTAGATGCTGTGGTGGTGGTTGGTGTTGCAGTTGTTGTAGTGGGTTCAGGGGGTGGGGTTGTAGATGCTGTAGTTTTGGTTGGTGTTTCAATTGTTGTTGTTGTGGGTTTAGTTGGTGGGGTTGTCAATTCTGTGGTTGTGGTTGGTGTTGCAGTTGTTGTTGTAGTGGGTTTAGTTGGTGGGGTTGTAGATCCTGTAGTTTTGGTTGGTGTTGTAGGTGTTGTAGTTGGTTCAGTGGGTGGGGTTGTAGATTCTGTGGTTGTGGTTGGTGTTTCAGTTGTTGTAGTGGGTTTAGTTGGTGGGGTTGTAGATGCTGTGGTGGTGGTTGGTGTTGCAGTTGTTGTTGTAGTGGGTTCAGGGGGTGTGGTTGTAGATGATGTGGTTGTGGTTGGTGTTTCAGGTGTTGTAGTGGGTTCAGGGGGTGGGGTTGTAGATGCTGTGGTGGTGGTTGGTGTTTCAGTTGTTGTGGGTTTAGTTGGTGGGGTTGTCAATTCTGTGGTTGTGGTTGGTGTTTCAGTTGTTGCAGTTGGTTCAGTGGGTGGGGTTGTAGATTCTGTGGTTGTGGTTGGTGTTTGAGTTGTTGTAGTGGGTTCAGGGGGTGGGGTTGTAGATTCTGTGGTTGTGGTTGGTGTTTCAGGTGTTGTAGTGGGTTCAGGGGGTGCGGTTGTAGATTCTGTGGTTGTGGTTGGTGTTTGAGTTGTTGTAGTGGGTTCAGGGGGTAGGGTTGTAGATTCTGTGGTTGTGGTTAGTGTTTCAGGTGTTGTAGTGGGTTCAGGGGATGCGGTTGTAGATGCTGTGGTGGTGGTTGGTGTTGCAGTTGTTGTAGTGGGTTCAGGGGGTGGGGATGTAGATTCTGTAGTTTTGGTTGGTGTTTCAGTTGTTGTTGTTGTTGTTGTTGTTGTTGTTGTGGGTTTAGTTGGTGGGGTTGTAGATGCTGTGGTGGTGGTTGGTGTTGCAGTTGTTGTAGTGGGTTCAGGGCGTGGGGTTGTCAATTCTGTAGTTTTGGTTGGTGTTTCAGATGTTGTTGTTGTGGGTTTAGTCGTTGGGGTTGTTAATTCTGTGGTTGTGGTTGGTGTTTCAGTTATTGTAGTGGGTTCAGTGGGTAGGGTTGTAGATGCTGTGGTTGTGGTTGGTGTTTCAACTGTAGAAGTGGGTTCAATAGGTGGGGTTGTCGATTCAGTGGTTGTAGTTGGTGTTGCAGTTGTTGTAGTGGGTTCAGTGGGTGGGGTTGTAGATGCTGTGTTTGGTGTTTCAGTTGTTGTAGTGGGTTCAATAGGTGGGTTTGTAGATCCTGTGGTTGGTGTAGCAGTTGTTGTAGTGGGTTCAGTGGGTGTTGTTGTAGATTCTGTAGTTGGTGCTTCAGTTGTTGTAGTGGGTTTAGTTGGTGTGGTTGTAGATGCTGTGGTGGTGGTTGGTGTTGCAGTTGTTGTAGTGGGTTCAGGGGGTGGGGTTGTAGATTCTGTAGTTTTCGTTGGTGTTTCAGTTGTTGTTTTTGTTGTGGGTTTAGTTGATGTGGTTGTCAATTCTGTGGTTGTGGTTGGTGTTTGAGTTATTGTAGTGGGTTTAGTTGATAGGGTTGTAGATTCTGTAGTTTTGGTTGGTGTTGCAGGTGTTGTAGTTGGTTCACTGGGTAGGGTTGTAGATGCTGTGGTTGTGGTTGGTGTTTTAACTGTAGAAGTGGGTTCAAAAGGTGGGGTGGTCGATTCAGTGGTTGTAGTTGGTGTTGCAGTTGTTGTAGTGGGTTCAGTGGGTGGGGTTGTAGATGCTATGTTTGTGGTTGGTGTTTGAGTTGTTGTAGTGGGTTCAATAGTTGGGGTTGTAGATGCTGTGGTTGGTTTTGCAGTTGTTTTAGTGGGTTCAGTGGGTGGTGTTGTAGATTCAGTGGTTGTAGTTGGTGTTGCACTTGTTGTAGTGGGTTCAGTGGGTGGTGTTGTAGATTGTGTGGTTGTAGTTGGTGTTGCATGTGTTGTAGTGGGTTCAGGGGGTGGGGTTGTAGATTCTGTAGTTTTTGTTGGTGTTTCAGTTGTTGTTGTTGTTGTGGGTTTAGTTGGTGTGGTTGTCAATTCTGTGGTTGTGGTTGGTGTTTCAGTTGTTGTAGTGGGTTTAGTTGATGGGGTTGTCGATGCTGTGCTAGTGGTTGGTGTTGCAGTTGTTGTAGTGGGTTCAGTGGGTGTGGTTGTAGATTCTGTGGTGGTGGTTGGTGTTTGAGTTATTGTAGTTGGTTCAGTGGGTGGGGTTGTAGATTCCGTGGTTGTTGTGGGTGCTACAGTTGTTGTAGTGGGTTCAGTGGGTGGGGTTGTAGATTCTGTGGTGGTGGTTGGTGTTTCAGTTGTTGTAGTAGGTTCAGTGGGTGGGGTTGTAGATTCTGTGGTTGTTGGGGGTACTACAGTTGTTGTAGTGGGTTCAGTGGGTCGGGTTGTAGATTCTGTGGTTGTTGTGGGTGCTACAGTTGTTGTTGTTGTTGTTGTTGTTGTTGTTGTTGTTGTTGTTGTTGTTTCAGTTGTTGTAGTGGGCTCACATGTATCTACTTCACAACATACTCTGATCTTATAGTTGAAACATTTCCGTGGAGGTCTAAATTGGTCCTCCTTTCTACATATTAAACCGACTCCTAGATCACAAGAAACCTTTTGGCCAGTTTGAGTTACAAAGTCATTGAAGTCCATTTCAGGATGATTTGTTGTTCTACAATCAATTTCTGTGGGAGTTTCACACATTTGTATACCACTATTTGTGATGTTCTCATATGTTTCCCAGTCACTTCCGTCCTCTAATGGGTTATGCACATCGTACCACTCTGACCACTCACATGTTTTAATACAAGGTGTAGTGGATTCATTTGGTGGGGTTATATATGTTGTGGTAGTGGCTGGTGGTTCATTTGTTGTTGTAGTGGGTTCAGTTGGTGGGGTTGTAGATGCTGTGGTTGTTGTTGGTGCTACAGTTGTTGCAGTGGGTTCAGTGGGTGGGGTTGTAGATTCTGTGGTTGTTGTGGGTACTACAGTTGTTGTTGTAGTGGGTTCAGTGGGTGGGGTTGTTGATTCTGTGGTTGTTGTGGGTGCTACAGTTGTTGCAGTGGGTTCAGTGGGTGGGGTGGTTGATTCTGTGGTTGTTGTGGGTGCTACAGTTGTTGTTGTAGTGGGTTCAGTGGGTGGGGTTGTAGATATTGTGGTTGTTGTGGGTGCTACAATTGTTGTAGTGGGTTCAGTGGGTGGGGTTGTTGATTCTGTGGTTGTTGTGGGTGCTAAAGTTGTTGTAGTGGGTTCAGTGGGTGGTGTTGTAGATTGTGTGGTTGTAGTTGGTGTTGCATGTGTTGTAGTGGGTTCAGGGGGTGGGGTTGTAGATTCTGTAGTTTTTGTTGGTGTTTCAGTTGTTGTTGTTGTTGTGGGTTTAGTTGGTGTGGTTGTCAATTCTGTGGTTGTGGTTGGTGTTTCAGTTGTTGTAGTGGGTTTAGTTGATGGGGTTGTCGATTCAGTGGTTGTAGTTGGTGTTCCAGTTGTTGTAGTGGGTTCAGTGGGTGGGGTTGTAGATGCTGTGGTTGTTGTGGGTGCTACAGTTGTTGTAGTGGGTTCAATAGGTGGGGTTGTCGATGCAGTGGTTGTAGTTGGTGTTGCAGTTGTTGTAGTAGGTTCAGTGGGTGGGGTTGTAGATGCTGTGCTAGTGGTTGGTGTTGCAGTTGTTGTAGTGGGTTCAGTAGGTGTGGTTGTAGATTCTGTGGTGGTGGTTGGTGTTTGAGTTATTGTAGTTGGTTCAGTGGGTGGGGTTGTAGATTCCGTGGTTGTTGTGGGTGCTACAGTTGTTGTAGTGGGTTCAGTGGGTGGGGTTGTAGATTCTGTGGTGGTGGTTGGTGTTTCAGTTGTTGTAGTAGGTTCAGTGGGTGGGGTTGTAGATTCTGTGGTTGTTGGGGGTACTACAGTTGTTGTAGTGGGTTCAGTGGGTGGGGTTGTAGATTCTGTGGTTGTTGTGGGTGCTACAGTTGTTGTTGTTGTTGTTTCAGTTGTTGTAGTGGGCTCACATGTATCTACTTCACAACATACTCTGATCTTATAGTTGAAACATTTCCGTGGAGGTCTAAATTGGTCCTCCTTTCTACATATTAAACCGACTCCTAGATCACAAGAAACCTTTTGGCCAGTTTGAGTTACAAAGTCATTGAAGTCCATTTCAGGATGATTTGTTGCTCTACAATCAATTTCTGTGGGAGTTTCACACATTTGTATACCACTATTTGTGATGTTCTCATATGTTTCCCAGTCACTTCCGTCCTCTAATGGGTTATGCACATCGTACCACTCTGACCACTCACATGTTTTAATACAAGGTGTAGTGGATTCATTTGGTGGGGTTATATATGTTGTGGTAGTGGCTGGTGGTTCATTTGTTGTTGTAGTGGGTTCAGTTGGTGGGGTTGTAGATGCTGTGGTTGTTGTTGGTGCTACAGTTGTTGCAGTGGGTTCAGTGGGTGGGGTTGTAGATTCTGTGGTTGTTGTGGGTACTACAGTTGTTGTTGTAGTGGGTTCAGTGGGTGGGGTTGTTGATTCTGTGGTTGTTGTGGGTGCTACAGTTGTTGCAGTGGGTTCAGTGGGTGGGGTGGTTGATTCTGTGGTTGTTGTGGGTGCTACAGTTGTTGTTGTAGTGGGTTCAGTGGGTGGGGTTGTAGATATTGTGGTTGTTGTGGGTGCTACAGTTGTTGTAGTGGGTTCAGTGGGTGGGGTTGTTGATTCTGTGGTTGTTGTGGGTGCTAAAGTTGTTGTAGTGGGTTCAGTGGGTGGGGTTGTAGATGCTGTGGTTGTGGTTGGTGTTGCAGTTGTTGTAGTGGGTTCAGTGGGTGGGGTTGTAGATTCTGTGGTGGTGGTTGGTGTTTGAGTTATTGTTGTAGATGCTGTGGTGGTGGTTGTATATACTGTGGTTGTTGTCGGAGGTTCGGTTGGTGTTGTAACAGGTATGGTGGTGGCAATTGTTGTTGTTGGGACAGTTGTAGATATGCAAGTTTCATTTTCAAATATCACTGTCGCATTCCTGCATATTGCATAGTAGCACATTCCCATATTGTCAGTGGCATTGAAAATAACTTCCTCTTCCTCGTATCTAGTATTGTTGTAATAGCAATCAGGACATTCCTCCACACACAACCCAGTGTCTTCATCAAATATCGGCGTATCTTCTGGGCATACAGGGTAGCAGCCTGTACACAACACAACATTAAATGTAATACATTGTTTGTGTAATTGATAATTATTGTTTTTGAAATATTTATTTATTCTACTTGAAACTGAAGATTGCTTGGTTGTCTCTGAATCTCTTTTCACACATAAAATAAGCCAAATTGGATCATTTCTACATTTCAGATTTTAACCATCACATAAAGCTGAGAAAGTGTGAGTTAACCTCTTACCTTCTAGGTTGGGTAAAGGTTTGCTGCAATTTTCTTCTGGATTCATACAGGTCTTGTAGCAAGGTTTGTGGCAAGGATTGTAGTGCCACTTGCATTCACCTGGGTTGTTGTAGTAATCACAAAAAACAGCTAGGAAGAAACGATTAAAAAAAGGTTATGTTTTAAACAAAGTAGTTGCTGATGTAGGCTATCTCTTAGTGAAAAAGACCTTAAACATAAAGTCAACCTGATACGAATCCTCACATTATATTTACTTTAGGCCTAAAGATTGAAAGAAGTTTAAGGTAACTTGGGAAGTTATTAGGCATCATGTATATAAATCATTGCATCGGGTCCCATAACAGCTTCTTAGCACCAGAAAAGCTGTGAAACCTGAGTTTATTCTTAGGGTTCGAAGGCATATTTCACATTGTTGTATACTTACGACAGATTTCTGGAGTTCTCCATGCAACACATACAGAAGCCTCATTACACGCTTGAGCATAAGCTGCGACTGCTGAGCAGAAACATTCACAGTCTCCTCCAGAGTCGCAGGCACATGAGTCTTTCACACAGTTTTCATAATATGGAAGGGGAGCAACCTGTTAAGTCGTAAAACAAATGAGTTACATTTGTTCAACCATCACATTTAAAAAAAACAAAAACATAAATGATTAACAAGATGTCTGCACCTTATTGTGGCAATGTTTGAACGTATTCCCAGTTATAATGCTGCACATCATTTTTGCCCAGTGATGTCGATTAGGTTTTGCGCCACAAGGGTCAGCATTCGTATCCACATCTGGGCAATTGCTTGACACTTTCCAGCTGTTTGCGAATTCTACAGGATTGCTTACTACCAGATGACCCTGGGTGGTGAAGTCGTTCTGTCCATCTCCATCAAAATCTCCACACAGACCACACACCTCTCCCTGAAAAAGCCATACAAAAGGAGTTAGTGATTTATTTCACATTTTATTCCATAACAAACCCTTTGGGGACAGACATTTTCCAGGCTTTAATATACTTCCATTATTTCCACAACCTATTTACTAAATATGTTTAGTATATTATTGTATTATTATATTAATATTGTTATAATTGTAAAAAAAAAGATTTCAGAAAGTTAATATGGTGTAAACCGCTTATAGTGATCGAGGTTACAGTGATCAACTGCTTATATAGAACAGATAAATGACACTTTGGCACAGGATTTGTGTATAGTAATCAAGTCAACCACTAACTTTTCATTTTGAGCTTTTCATACATTACAACATGTTACATTTATAAAAATACATTTTAGAGTTTTTGTAAACAACACAACACAGTTACATGTAAAGCCATAATATAATTTGAACTACAGTGAACAGATGTTATATACAGTAGGTACTGTATTGCATTTAGGTGCATTTTTATTTAAACAGTCCAGTAAATAAATGTCTACAATAATTTTGAAAAGCATTTGAAATAGATGTACTGTATTTTGTCAAAGTGGTGTGAAGAAAAAGCAGACAGCTAGACTACAGATTTAAAAAATGTTTTACATCATATCAAAACTTGAATATTTAAGTCATCATATGAACAATTTCCGAGACTTACACTGTGCATTGGTTCCAGGATAATGCGAACAGTTGTTTTTCCATCCCACATCACCGACAGACCAATGGCTGATTCTATCACCACAAACAAGCCAACCCTTCGTATTCTGTACTGAATCTCAGCACCCTGGCCCAGGTTCAACTCTTCATATTTACCCTTCGATAATTTAATTTCCATTCGCTGTAATGTTAAGGAGATTCTTGTTAGTTTTACAAAATAAATATTTTGTTGGATTGAGTCCAATATTTCAGGCTCAGAGAGAATATCAGGTGTTGGTAAGATGTCTTACCCCCAGATAGATTCTGACAGTTTTGGAGCATGTGGTGCCTGTAGTTCCACAAGGTTCATTTTCTGTGATGACCCCAAAGCTGTCCTGCACTGTTTTATTGCCACATTTGTTCTTAAAAGAGAAAGATGTATTGATTCATTAAATTGTTTTCCTTTATATTAGACATATACAAATGGTCAAATTAAACCTTGGCTTGGACTCAAATTTTCCACAGTGGTTAGTACAACACAAACACATTAATTAATTATCAGTAGAGTAGGATTATATAATTCATATTTCACTCATATTTCATGTTTTTAAGTAAATTAAATGTAGATATCATCCCAAAAAGTATATCAAGTTTAGTCTTCAAGATTAGAAAAAAGTTAGACGTTTATACATGACTGACTTTCAACATTTGTTTACCTTCACAGCAACATAGGCACAATCTCCATTAAACCCATATGTCTGCTGATCAAATGTATTGTAGTGGCCACTCCCATAAATAGTGCAAGTTTGTGGGCATTTTTTCTCGCTGCACACCCAGCTTCCACTTTTGCAGGTACTATATCAGAAATGGTAAGATATAATACAATGTTTTAAAATACCACAATGATGTAAATGTTAATAATAATAATGTAATATATAAATATGATAATGTTTATGCTATAGTATACTTCTGATTTAAAAACGAGGTCATACCAGGTGTTGCACTGCTCGGGGATTTCTGATCCAGGGGCATAGATATGGCCATCGTGCTTACATGTGCACTGATTTCTTTGCACACAGGAATCTTTGCCATCATCGAGAAGGCCAGCTGGACACCGACAGCCAGATTCACACTCAGTGGAGTCCTGAGAAGAAAGAAGGATGACATAGATAGTAAAGGAGTAAAATGAATAATACTTGTTGGGAAAATACTGAATGTACTCTTCTAATATCAGAGTAGCACATGTTAACAAAGGCCCTGCGTAGCTGTGTACGTAACCAGATGTATGATTACCTAGAAGAGCGTCAGGACACACTGTTTAACATGATGATTCAGCCTCTATGGAGATGGACATATGACTGTCATGTTTATTGCTTACGCAGGCCTTAGCTAATCTGAAGTAAACATTGAATACTGCTTTGAACCGGTATTCTAACACTCTCTTGTATATAAGCATGTCAAGGACACTATTCAGGGTACTATTTGTACTATGCAGCTTTGTATATGATGACTACTTCCATTCTTGCAAGGATAATAAATACATGTATCCTGATATTGAAGATCAAGCCGGTGACGAGTGATATTTTCTAACAATATAGTTCAAGACTCTAGAAACTCTGTGGAACTAGTGAAACCCAACAGATTGTTTAACATCTTGAATGTAACAAAGCATTCATCATAAAATTAAGGAAATATACAATAGACTGAGATGTTTTAGACTGAGAGCTTACGCAATCATCGCTGTCCAGATTCAGACACGTTGGAGCACAGTGCAGGCCCAGGTCCCCTGAGCCAGCAGCAGAGCAGTTGAAGAATTGTTTTGGAGAAGGGCATGCTGTAACAGAAAAAGATTCAACATACCAGTATCAACAACACAAGAAACAGAATCGATCAAATACTTGTCTTGTGGTAAAAAAATAATAATTAAATATATAACGTACTTGATGAGCGGGCTCTCCAAGAATGGCAATGAAGCATTCCATTGTTACATACACTAGAAAAGACACCAAGGATATGAAATTAAATACAACACAAAGGTACCTGAAAAGTAACAATGTATTAAATTCACTGGTGGAAAGTATATTTATATAAGGACTCTACCTAAGTACAGTTTTGATGTTCTTGTGCTGTATTTCAATGTTCAGCTACTTTATACTTCTATTCCACTTTACTTCAGAGGTTAATATTATAATTATCTCACCTACATTAATTTGTAACCTTTAGTTACAAGTTAGTCAAGTTAGCACAAACGCTATCAGCGGAAACACACATATTTATAAACCAACAATTATTATACAAACATATCAAATATATTATTCTAAAATGGGTAATTCTGCCAAATAAGTACTTTTAAGTTTTGTACTTTAAGTATGTTTTGATGCTAATACATGTTCACTTCACTCAGTTTTTGTTCAACCTCTGGTGGGTTAATACTGCAGGCATTACAAGTGTTGTAAGGTTTGTATCTTATGTATCACTTGTATATAGACTCTTATGGCACTAATCTATTCTATTTTATTGTATTTAATTGCACTATTTTAACCGTTTTATTGTTTTGCACTGTTGGAGGAGCCTGGGACCTAAGATTTTCATCGACATAACTACACTGTAGCTATGTACGAATGACAATAAAAGCCTTGAATCTTGAATCTAGGACAGTTCAAATCCAATGTAACCAAATGGCATGCAGCTGACTCACCAGTGCTCATCTTTGATGCTGATGGACTTTCCTGACTTGATGTAGACTTCGTTATGGTAGCAGGGACATTTTGCCTTGGGGATACAGATGCCGTTTTCATTGAGGTAGAGACCGTCAGGGCAGGAGCAGCCGTCCACAGGCAGGAAGTCAGAAATGCAATTCTGCTGCACGGAGCCGAGGGATCTGCAGGTCAGCTGGCATCTCTGATGCTGGTAAGAGAAGATCTGAGACTCTGGGCAGTTCCTGGAGTATTTATCTGTTTTATGCACAGGATGAGAGGATTACTGTTACTGATAAGACTTTATTACCATCATTATAATAGTCAATAGTAATTATACTGTTAACAAATAATGAATGATTATCTTGTTTCTTAATCATTGGAGATGCATCAAAGTATTTGTTAACCATTTACCAGAATATTATATTAAGTAATTAGTTATAAAAGTTTTACAAAATATTTCAAAAGAAGTAACAACAAATGTTGCTCATCATTAACAAATGCATCATATAGTAGAATACAATATTATGCAACTATTAACTGTTAAAACATAAATGATAGATTACCTTGTAATTAGTTAACATAATCATTGTGTCATCACATAATGTCATTGTTTAATCAGTTTCACAGTTTAATTAACAATCAATTTAATATTATTAGTGATTTTGATTGTTACTAAGTGCTACCTAGTTACTTTATAGTTTTTAAATCCTTACCGCACACTTTCTCTCTCCAGTCTTCCAGGAACACTCCCTTAGATGCACAAGCCCGAGCGTAGGAGGAGAAGACGGCACACAGACAGTCCTCACTCTTCTCACAGTTGCAGCTAGCATAAGTACATCTCTGGAGAAGACAGAAAGCACTTTTAGAGTATTACATCCCCATCAAAGTGTAATTGAATGAAAGACAAACAGAAAGGTTTTGCAGTACCTTGTAGTACAGCTCAGGATCCACCACTGAACGGCACTGAGCGAAGCTGCTGTCTGGACTCAGCAGCAAGGCGCACCAGTGTTTGGCGTACCACTCTGCAGAAACAATAGCCTTTTATTTTCAAAATTCTATTTTCCTTAAAGAGACAGCTCATCCCAAAATCAAATGGCACTCGTCATGTGGTGCTTATAGCGGCAAGAAAATATATTTAAAAAAACCTGCCAAACGTATCACTGTGCAGAAGTAAGCGTGCGTCTACTCACGACTGAGACGCTAAGAAAGTTAGCTAGAAAGATAATATTTCCTATAAAAGACAGTCTGTGGATTATCTTGGGTAATAGAGAACATTTTTGGACAGAGACATTCGATTTATAAATGTTTTTGGAAATTGGAATTTTAGAAGCAATTTAATAATAATATATTTTTTAATGATTGTATAATTGTATTTTTACTGAGAAAGTAATGGTTTGAAATGCCATACATTCCATATTTCAACATGTTACAACACTCTTCCAAATACAAATGCCCCAATTATTTTGTTTTCAAACAATAAAATATCAAGCAGTGCTTTTTACCATTTTCCACACTGAGGGAACAAGGGTCTTCAAGTCTCTCCTCTCTGTCTGGACACATGTAGTTAGCCTTCCACGAGTTACTGAAGGTGGGAGCTGTTCCCTCCACGATCCCCTGAGGAGTCTTCATGTCATCAGACAGGACCATGTTGAAGTTCCCGCATAAACCTGTAGACAATGAATATTTTATTAGCACTTATACTCAAGTGCAAACAATTGGCTAAAACCAAAAATAGTTACAAGGAAAGTATAAATTACTGTAATGAGAGTATAATGTATATTATTAGGAATGTGGGTAATCTATTTGAATTACGACTAATTTACGTAAGAAAATACATTGTGACTTGAGGGTTACTAGTGTGGGGTTCAATTTGAGGTTTCAGTTTTTTTTGTTTAGAGAGAGAAGAATAGTGAATTTAAAGACAAATCTAACTCACCACTTATTACATTAACTGATGTATTTATTTTATGTATATTGTTTAGTTCTTTAGGAGGGATTCAGGGGTGGTGGAAAGACAATCAGCCTATAAATATGTTCTTGTGTTGTCACTGTAATGAATAATACATATTTAATCAAGTGTATTACAAAACATCATCATGTTTGTCCACCTGTCAAGCACTACCTGTCCAACAAGTATTGCAGGTTTTTCATTTATTCATTATTCTAAATGTACAGTATTCTGACATCACTCTGATATCAAGTTAAATATACAACTTACCACGTGTCTTTGCTCTGTAGCTTTGGTCAAGGCTGACATAGACTTGCATGACGGGCACATGCTGGATCTGAATTTGCAACCCGAAACTTGTCTGGAGCATGATGTGGAAGGATGAGGCGTGGAATATGTTGATGTCACCTGGATAAAGATAAGTACAACATAAGTTAGATTGTTTTTGCTGATGTCCTTGCACACATTTCAATTACAATAACCTTTATACTAAGGGTTTCTGACTCACCTGAGTGGTATGGCAAACTGACTGTCTGCATGTTCTGCTTCACTGTGCCATCGGAGGTGAACATTAATACCTGGATATAAACAGAGTTGATCATTGCAGGTATAGGTTTGAATCTATGAATGAGTAAGGTCTTCTTTCCTGAGAGACTTTAACTCACATTGTTTCTGTCATTGTTCAGCACGATTTTAAGACTCTTGAGGCAAGTGTCAAACTCTTGATTTGCACATGGCACCAACTGAACCAGGATGGTAAACTTTGGACTTGCTTTATCCTGAAATATAAATAGTGACAACAAAATATTAATTTACAAATGGTATTATTGAAATCAGCTCATTATGCATTTTATTTTGTAATTGTACAAAGCTATGGCTAATTCACCTTGCTTTCCACTTTGGCTAGGGTGTAGTAGCAGTCCCCATGGAAGGTATATGTTTTCCCGTCAAAGGTGGTCACATGTGAGCCCTCCTCTACTGCACAGGTAGCAGGAGTCTGAAGGCTCTTACAGGCCCATTTACCCTCAACACATGTACTGAAACAACCCAAAACATTGAACTTAACAATAAAAAACAAGATTAAGCTAGGCAAGATGAAATATTATGTTGATGAAATATTCAAACTTACCATTCCTCTCTGTCCTGTCGGTAAACCTCACCAGAGTTGTAGATTTTGTTGTGTTTGCACTGACACTTAGATTGAACAATACACCCTCTCATGGAAATATCATCAAACACAGTTCCTGAAGAAGACACACATAACATTAACTTGTTATCGACTAGGACTAGGGTATATATAAGGGTAATAAAACATGTGAATGGCACTAACCAGGGGGACAGAAGCAGCCGTCGATCTTGTGATCCTCACACAGAGAGCTTGTGTCGAGAAGTGTGCATGTATCCATGCAAGGGGAGCCACTCTCTTCATACACCATGTTGAATGGGCACTGTTTGGCTGTGAGGAAAGGACATGATTTAAATAAACTGATGTAAGTAATAGGGCATCAAGGGTGATATATTTAATTATTTGATGCTTTGGATGCATGAGATAAAAATCCCCTATAAACAGAAACACAGTACCTTTTCAAAATAACCCTGCTAGCTGTCAGTAGTGGAGTAAAAATTACAATATTTGCATCCAAAATACAGTTGGGTAGAAGTATAAAGTACCATCAAATGAAAATAATCAAGTAGTACCTCAAATGTGTACTTAAGTGTAGTACTTGAGTAAATGTACTTAGTTACTTTCCATCACTGCATATGAAAAATAAAGATAATACAAAAACTGAAAAGCAAAAGCGATCTTAAAACCTTACCACATAACTGCGGAGTCCTCCAGTTGGGAGGCGTTCCCCCTGCATGGGAACACTGTCTGGAGAACTCAGAGAGTGTGCTGCAGACACAGAAGTCATTTGGACTGTTGGAGCAGCCACACATGTCCTGCACACAGGTCAGGATGTACGGCTCAGGGTCGATCAGTGTGGTGCAGGAGCTCCAAGGCTCTGAACGCAGCATCTGGGCACAGGTGGTTTGCTAAACGGGAGGAAGAGACAAAGTTAGCAAATACGACCTGAGTACAGTGTGGGGAAATAACTGACTCCATTTAACAAGAACTGTACATAGTATACATTTGAGACTGTTGTATTTAAATATTCTGCTACATTGTACTTCCACTCCACGGGATTCAGAGAGAAATATTATACTTTCTACTTAACTTTATTCATTTGACCAGTTTAGTCACCTTGCAGATTATTTACAGATAAGATATTACCAACATAATGTATCATAGTACAAGATGTGAGCACTTTATATCACCAGATATCACTATTGCTAACACTCACAAACTCCTTGCATGAATCCAGCACAGCCTCCCGAGATTCATTCTCCTCTTCATCCGGATCCTCACAAACTTCATTTGGACGGTGGACTTTCTGTTTGTTGCCGAACTCAATAGGGCTGATTTTGCGACCTGCACATGATTGTTGTTATAATACCAAATGTCAAAGATACGGTTGATGATTATGGAAATGTGTTAATGCATAAAATAAATAAGCATAATATACCATTATGAATGAACTCATCGTGGACAGGAACCCCATTGAAGTCTCCACAAAGACCACAAGTACGGTTTGCATAATCAGTATCCAGTTCCACCTGCAGCATAGCAAGAGGTTATGACACGTTTGGCTTTTTCACAATTTCAAAAAAGGCAAAACAACAGTTAATTGTAATTGCCTCAAAAAATCATAAAGAATTCCTAACCAAATTCATGTATATTACAATTTAAAGTTGCATTATTGTGTGCCGAATAGTTAAATGGTTTAACAGTCAAACATTTTTCTTAAGTTTTTACCATGACTGCATCGTCCCCGTTCCACATGACAGTGATGCCGACTTTAGATTGGAGCTTGATGTTACCAGCATTTTTTTCCACTTGTACTCCTGCATTGAAGTGTGGCAATTTGACACTGGAAAATGAAGATGTTTTTCTTATTACAATGAACTTGTACATAAAAGAGTGGTACAGTTTATTTCCAAGGCTGTTGGATGTTCTACTCACGGGATGTCATTCACAGTGACCATGTCCTTGCTGAGGTAGAACAAAAGGTCATTGATGGTGACCACCACATGACTGACTGTAGGGTTTCCATCTTTGACCATCCTCCTCATGTGCACGGAGAACTCCTGGTAGGACTCATGGCAGTCGGAGGCCAGGTTGTACTCACACGTGCCAGGGAACTGAAACACATCTCCGTCAAACGTCTTGAAGTGCTCCCGGCCCCATGTGCTGCAGATGCTGCTCACATGGTTGCGAACTGAGGAAAATGTTTGAGTGTAGAAAACAGTTCAAGTTACTAAAGGTGGAAAGACTGACTTAAGAGATGATATATGCTTTACAATACTCAGAACAAAAAAGCAGAATAGTCCCTCCACACAGCATCCTTAACAATCTTACCCAGTCTGGCTTGCACGTTGATGACACTTGCAACAGACAAAGCAAGGAAACACAACCACACACTTCTCCCCCTCATCATTGCCATTGGCTTTTGGTCACCGGAGCAGATAATAGTTGGACTGCACTTGACTGGCTTTTATAGTGGACGCCTTTTGTCCAAAGTTTTATTGCCAAGACATGGGAAACATATGCTGAATGGACGACTGACGCATTTCACAAGTCCAATATAATCATTCCTACATCCTCCTTATTGCTTGATTGAACAAATATGCACATTGATTAACAATTCATAGAAGAAATGGGCTGCAATAAAAGGGTTTTGTTGACAGTGTGCTCGTTAAATGATATCAAACTAATTCTCTTAAAAATACGCTCTCTTATTTTTGGATTAAATCGGTAATACATCAGTAACACAGAGTTTGGACACATTTGACTAGAAATCTGCTTTTTTCTGCTTTTTAATCAAGTGATGAGAACTTATTAGGTATCATATCTTGGTATGAGAATGGTGTTATGGTATGATTATTATTTTATTATCGGATTAAGATCCAACCTCGTCACAACCAGTGACTGCCGGTATATGCTTGAGCAAACAAAGCAGTTTGTAGTAGGCAAGGCAAGTTTATTTATATAGCACTTTTCAACACAAGGCAATTCAAGGTGCTTTACAAAAATGAAAGACATTCAGACAAAGGCATTTAAAAACAGTCATTAAAAAGAAAAGATAATAAAGGAACATTAAAAGAAAAAATACATGAATATGTATAAACATGAATAAAAAGTACATGAATAAAAAGTTACAGTGCAGTTTAAGATATGAATAGTTCAATTAAAAGCAGTGACAAAAAGATCAATCAATCAATCAATCAATCAATCAATCAATCAATCAATGTTTATTTATATATCCCTTATAGCCTTATATAAGATAAGTCTTCAGCCTGGATTTAAAAGTAGTCAGAGTTGCAGCGGACCTGCAGGTTTCTGGGAGTTTGTTCCAGATGTTTGGAGCATAATAACTGAACGCTGCTTCTCCATGTTTAGCTCTGACTCTGGGGACAGAAAGCTGACCAGTCCCTGAAGACCTGAGAGATCTGGATGGTTCATAATTTAGCAGTAGGTCAGAAATGTATTTTGGGCCTAAACCATTCAACGCTTTATAAACCAGCAGCAGTATTTTTGAAATCTATTCTTTGACACACAGGAAGCCAGTGTAAAGACTTCAGAACAGGAGTGATGTGATCCACTTTCTTAGTGTTAGTGAGGACTCGAGCAGCGGCGTTCTGAATCAGCTGCAGCTTTCTAATAGATATTTTAGTGAGACCTGTGAAGACACCATTACAGTAGTCGAGTCTACTGAAGATAAAAGCATGGACAAGTTTTTCCAAATCCTGCTGTGACATTAGTCTTTTAATCCTAGATATATTCTTTAGGTGATAGTAGGCTGATTTAATAACTGTTTTAATGTGACTGTTGAAACTCAGGTCAGAGTCCATGACTACACCTAGATTTCTGGCTTTATCTGTTGTTTTGAACATTGCAGACTGAAGCTCAGCGCTAACTTTTATACGTTCTGCCTTGGCTCCAAAAACCATTACCTCAGTTTTGTCTTTGTTTAAAAGCAGGCATAGATTACTGATAAAAAAAAAAACAGATCCAATGTCATCAGTGCAAAACAAGCTTTTTTCTTTCAATCAGTACAAAGTGTTATGCTTTTCGAAGTGTCAAACTGCAAATATTCTTTGTGTATAGTGTCTAGCCCGTATACACAAAGAATATTAGCAGTTTGTATGACCTGCCATTATTGTATGAATTGGTTAAATGTAAGCATGTAGTATAAAACGTCAGAAAATTGGAAAGGTGCTATTTAAAAACAACTCCCATACAGTTTTCTTTCTGTCCATCTTTAAGCTAAGCTGTTAAGGAACTTCTGCTCAAAAAGTGTGGTTCAAATGCTTCAGTCAAGTTTTCCAACTGTATTTAGAATACTTCAAGAATTAGCTTGAGGAACTCTTTTGTTCCTCAGTCTGTAAGATCAGTTTGGGTTATAAGTAGGTCTCAGTGTACCTGGGATAAATGCTTTAAGTAAAAGTAAGCTATGAAATAACCTGCAGTTTATTATCCACTCTTCATAGTGTCTGTTGTGATGTATGTTTGTAGTAATGGTTTTCTTTTTTGGTTAAATGTTGTATTTGTATTTGCGATAGAACACAGGACCCTAGTGGGACATTAGGATTCAGACTCTGAGTCTTTACATCAATGATGATTGGTGCTCAAAAGTCAGTGGCAAAGTGAAAGACAGAGAATCAGCACTTTTGAAACAGGGCTGAAACAGAGGGGATTATGGGATGCTACAATGCATGATCTGTTTGGTATTTCGAGCCAAACACTTCAGAGACATGTTTTGTACAGTATATATCCGAGAACGATAATATATTGATGAAAAACAGTACAATAGGGGACCTTTAAAGATGCCAGACAGAATATCTGCTTAGAAATGTCTTTGTTTTTGCTGGTATTTATATAATGAAACCATTTCCCTCTGCCAAGGAAGTCATGTTTTCCATTTGCTTGGTTTAGTTGTCAACATGATTATAGACAAGACTACTTGGACTGATTTTCATAAAACTTGGCGGTAAGGTGTAACTAGGAAAGACAGAGTTGAGCAAAATCACACAGGGAGGATACACACTTATTTTTCTCTTTCATTAACATTTTGAGATATAGTCCTGGCGGAAGTATGCACCGTGGAAGTTCCTTCTAGTTAAATGTTTGTTTAAATTTGGTGACTGTGTGCTTCATTATCTATATTGCACCTGGTGCGTGAACAGACAGGATCTGCAAACTGCATTGAACAACATCCTTGATTACTGTCACCCTCTACCTGCACTGTCACATTAAGGCACAGAAAGCAAGGCATGACATGGGCAAACTTTCCCACTCTCTGGCGAACATGTGACAAGGAGTTTGTGTTGTGACTACAGTCATTATTGGATCAAACACCATTCAAAGGTTGAACACTGCTTAAGAGACAATATTATTACAAGTTAAACAAACTATTATTTACACACCAAATGAACATGTAATGATCAGTGATAAACAAATGTTTGAACAGATATTTCTCAATTATTAAATAATAACTGGTGGATACATCTGACTAAAGTTCAGCCTTACTGCATTGGTTTTATCTGTGTGGTTACATGTATATCTTGGAAACAAACACATCGTCATTTAGTATTACCTCACATAGTCGTAGAAGCTCCTCCATGTGCAAACAGGGCTTTGGGCTACTCCCACAGGGGGACAGCTGCATGATGAGAAAGGTGTATAGTTATTCCTGTCTGACAGCTTATACAGATTGACAGATATAGGATGTTGAATTAGGGAGGACTGTACTTTGTCAAATTTCCTCACAACTGTTTGGTTTCATAGCTGGCCTATTCCAGATGTTTTCATCCGTGTACTTTAATGGCTCATTACATGAAACACAAGTTGCTATTTGCCATAAAAAATAAATAATGTATGCATACATGGACATTTGAGCACAGTTAATATTTTGTGTATAAAACACACCCCAGGCCTATGCTGTCTCCAATCATTTGGAGAGGAAATATGTGTAAAGAAAGTAAAGTTCTATGTTATGCAAAGTATGCAAATATAACAATTTGTATGCTGTAAAAACACACAACGGAAACAATTTCTACTTCGTCTGGCTGAAAACACTACCACTGTCTAATTAGTAATGCAATCATGAGCAGCCAGTGCTAAAGTAAGTATTACATCTGCAACTATGAATACTTGTTGTGATAATTATTGAATCATCCATCATTTGGTCTGCTTTAAAAGTCACTGTAAATGTTTGACATCAGTGCCTTAAAAAAATGTTAGTTTCTGAGTATGGCTAATTACTTGACTCCAATTATTCCAGTTTTTGTATTCATTATATGGCCATATATATATATGTATAGTTAATTAGGCCATGGTTTCTGCTGTTATTTCGTTTATTTCAAATTTCAGGAACAAGTGGAATCAGTTTTTACCTATGCAAACTTCTGGGTGAGAGTTAGTCTAGCTTAAAGTACATTTGCATGATAGTCTTGAATTCTTTTTAGGAGAAGTGTCTTATTGTGAGCAACCAATTTTTGCATATTTTAACTTGATTTCTAAAAGATGTTCCTAAAATGTGCAAAAACAAGCACAAACGCGCTAAAAGTGCGAACAAAGGCTACACAAAATATTTTCAGTGTCTGAAAGTTGCATATTCTCTTAATACATTGATGCCTATATCCGGTTGTGTGAGCGTGGTTAGCATGTGCACATTTTCAACAGATATGTAAATGTTTTCACTGTGTTTGTCAATTTTTTTCAATGTCCACTTACCTTACCGTCCTACCACCAGTGGTATAACTGAGTACATTTACTCAAGTACTGTACTTAAATTCAATTTTCAGAGACTTGAACTTTACTTGAGTATTTACATCTTTGCTATTTGTACTTCTACCCCACTACAATTCAGAGGTACATCTTGAACTTTTACTCCGCTACATTTATTTAATACCTTTAGATACCCTACAGATTTAAATTATTTATGTGAAATATAATAAACACTTGAATAAGACTTTAGTTTTACCTGGAGTAAATACACACCCAGCAGCAAGGTAATAAAGTTAACCTTTTTTTACTTTGAACTTCTACCCCACTACAATTCAGAGGTAAATGATGTACTTTACTTCACTACATTTATTTAGTACCTTTAGTTACTGTGCATAAATGGATTAATTAAGTGAAATATAATCAACACTTTCAAGACTTTAGTTATACCTGGAGTAACATTCAGGTCTCCCTTGAAAAAGATATCAATGATCTCAATGGGATACACCTGGGTAAATAAAGGTTTGAAATTCATAAACTACCCTGCAGTGTACAAGGTACTTGAAATTAGATGCATGTTTTCCAGCTTTAATGCTAATGCTTTTGAACTTTCACTCAAGTAAGATTTTGATTACAGGACTTTTACTTGTAACTGAGTATTCCTACACTCTGGTACTTCTACTTAAGTACACGATCAACAGTAAGTACTTCTTCAATCTCTACCTACCACAGTCTCCACAGTTTGACCACGTTGATGCTGGCTCTGTAGTTGCGCCTGCGCACTGTAGGGGGCAACATCGCGCGGGTCTGTCCACCACAGAACAAGACTGCACAGAGGGAACAACATTCGCACATGCGCATCCAGTCGCTCGTATTAAATGGAGGCTGTTTGAAATGTCTGTAACGTTACTGTGACAAGTTATTAAAAACATGCCATAATGTTGCATTAACCTAATTGGTACGACCGATAACAGCGGAGACCATGGGTGAGTTCTCAAGTGAGAATCGTTTTTATGACAGCTATCGTTGGAATAAAAGCTAAATGTGCATCTGCGAGCCAAATAGTAAATGTTGAATCGAAGTTTGCATCCATTGATGCTTTTAACGCTAGAAAACCAAGGGTGTTTAATTTAAAAGTAATGCTAAAAGTTAAAGCTTACAGGGTCAAATTCAGTGTTGGAAGAAGTACTCAGATCCTTTACTAGAAGTACTAGAGTGTAGGAATATTCTGTTAGAAGTAAATGTCCTGCAATCAAAATGTTTACTCAAGTAAAAGTACTAAAGTTACTCAAGTAAAAATACTAAAGTATTAGCATCAAAATATACTTAAAGTACAAAAAGTAGAATGACTAATTCTGCGTGTATTTCAGAGAATAATGTAAAGTAGAGAAGTATTATCAGCTAAGTACTTCAAGTATCAAATGTAAAAGTACATGTTGCAGAATGGACGTTTTCACCGTATTATATTATCATGTATATTATCCTATTTTTATACATACGTGCATTTCAGTATTGTAGTTGGTCAATGTGGAGCAGTTTAAATACTTGAAATACTGTGAAGATTAGTAGTACAGTACTGCATTATACCATGTCAGCATATGCTGTGAATGTGTTACTAACATGACAATACAGCCTAGGATTTAATTGCAGGGGTGTTCTATTACGATGCAGAGGCTTCACATTTGTAGCTAGTTGTACATTATAAACTGGCCTAGAGTGTAAACTGGGACCCTAAACCATTTACTACCTGTGTAAAAAAAGAAAGAAGACAGTCTCTTTTCTTGACAAATCTTTTATCACTTCATTTCACCCAGCTCTAATCCCTGTTTCTCTCTGTTTTCCCCCCAGACTATAGTGTCGATGGTGCTGAGGAAGTGGAGCCTGAGAGATCCTCATCTCCAACTGAAACACAGTCGCCTGTAATGGACCGCAACCCATCACCCCCTCCAAACGCAGGCGATGGAGAGGAGGACGGCGATTTGGATGCCATTGGAGACACTGTTTACAGCAAGCACTGGCTTTTCAGCACCCTGACTCGTCTCATCCATGTAGGTTTGATACTATAGGCACGACATTTTCACTAAGCACTGTTTTTCTCTGGGGGTTACTGGAGATCAGACAGACTTGCCTTTTATTTAGTTGACCTATTTAACAAAGGCTTCTTCCGAGTCAGTGAGAATGAAAAAAGTATTCCAAGTTATGTTCTATTCATGTGATAGGAGCATCTTTCTGGATAACACATGTCCCTCTTTGCTGTCGCTCTCGGCTGTCCCATAAACCTAACTTTTCTTGTGTCTTGCAGATGGTCACCGAGCATTCGGAGGTTGACTCAGAAGGTCAGATGCAACTCCCTGATGATGATGAGGAAGATCTATGTAGAGTCTGGGATATGGCAATGGATAAGGTAGAGGTCTTCATAGGCTTCAAATGATAATGAAATTAAACAGTATGTGCATCCTGTGCATCATTTCCTATTTTGTAGTTACGCTAGCGGCAAATCTTAACCAACAACATGATACAAATAGATCTACATTCTGTGAATTTAATGATATTTTACCATCAACTATTGGTAACATTTCAATTAAATAATCATTTGAGAATGTGATCTGTGGTGCCCTAAAACTTTATTGCAATGTACTGACAGATGTTTCTGTGATTCAGCCTCCTCTTGTTAATATAAATAAGGTGGACAAATAATTGAAACAATGCTCAGTGTAATGCAATAGAATTCAGCACAATCATCCTCCAAAGTGACCTAGTAAAGCTATGGTTCATTGCAGCATGTGTTTAGCTAGGTGTGCCTAATACACTGGAAACCCAGAGTGTATGTTACAGTGAAAGTAAATACCCTTTAATCATGTTTAAATATTTACTAATGACGCTTTATTAACAAATTGTCTGCAGGATGTGGCTGGTTTTCTGCAGGAATTCAAAGCTACAGATATCCTTCTTGGGGTGATAGCCAAATCTCGTTGTCCACGCCTCACAGTGAGTGAATTCGTTTCTTGTTCATACATGTTCTGTGCTTGATTATAATCCTATGTAATATATTCATTTGTGCTTTATTCCTGTGCATTCATAATTTCTATATGTTTTATTTTGCTTTTCTAGGAAATTTGCGTGGGAATCCTTGGGAACATTGCTTGTTTCCCTGACACTTGTCTGACTCTAAGTCAAAATGAAGACCTAGGGTGGGTAAAAGTAATTATCTGTAGTGTTGGAATATAATTTGTCACCCTTTTGTGATTCATTAATGCAACTCCCTTTGTGTTGACAGGGCTGTGCTGTTGCTTCTTCTTGGAGATACAGATCCTCCAACCATTCTGGAAACGAGCAGGTGACCTTTGTGTTTTCAGCAGACATGTGAGACAGAAACATCAAGATAGAAGCATTACTATTTTCTGATGATGTTTGCAGATTGTTGCTGACCTGCGTCTCTCAGAAAGATGTCTGTTCCCTGTGGCTTCAGCGAATACGACAGCAGATGTCTGTGCGCTCCAACCTACTTTTCGTCATGTGCAGTTCCACGAACAGTAAACATGCTTTCACTCATTCCTTTCTAATAAGCTGATGACGTGTTACTGGTTTAGGAAGAAATGAAAATCAATTCGACATATCAAGATGACTTGCATAAAGTTATCTTAAAGGTTCCCTGTTGAAGCTCAAGCATACACACACTGCTTTCTAAGGGATTAACATTGTATGTATATACTCTACTTTGACTTGTCTGTTTACATAAAAACTCCATAGGGTAGTAAGTAAGTACACAATAGAACCAACCAATCAATCAAAGTTTATTTATATAGCCTAATATAACACATGTTACATTTGTCTCAGGAGATTTGACAGTTTGTAGAATGAATACGACACCCTCTGTCCTTATACCCTCACATCGGCCAAGGAAAAACTTCCAAAGAAACCCCACAGTTTAAAGGGGGAAATGGAAGAAACCTTGGGGAGAGCAACAGAGGAGAGATCCCTCTCCCAGGACGGACAGACGTGCAATAGATGTTGTGTGTAAATTAAAAAGACAATACATTTACAATATAGATAGTCCAGATTATGAAAAATGAATATGAAGAGATTGGATCCAGGTAGTAGATCCAAATGTAGAAGCATACACACAATGCTTTTCATGTGATGATTAACATTGTATGTAAACTTAACCTTTACACGAAAACTCCACAGGGTACCAGGTAAGTAACAGTAGAACCCTGTGTGTTTTTCAGCTGACCTGCTTGAGAAAGTTGGGGAGCTGGTTGATAAACTGTTTGACCTTGATGAAGAGCTGATGACGAGTTGGATAACAGCTCAACAAAATGAGGAGGAGAAGGAGGGGGATGGTGAGAGACATCTGGAGATGGCATCGTGTCTCCTGGAGGCAGCCAAACAGCTAAGGTAAGAATATGAAAAAGTGTTTTCATGATTATGTTTACCTATAATGTGAGTAGAAATGTTTTCCATAGGAAGCATCCTGAGTTGAGGTTAAAAAACATGTTGCCTTAGTTTCCACATATACGTACCACATATACATACAGTATAGAGAGATTATTAACTGCAGGTCTGAATAAAACAAACAGTTGTGAATAAATGCTTTCAATTGCTCTTTATTCATATTCATAAATCATAAATAACATTGATGCAATTCACTTGTATATTTGCTGATATTTATATTATTGCTTTCCCCCCCCTTTTTGTTCTATTTCTTACCATTTTATGAATACTCATATAGGCAAATTTGACATAAGAACAACAAAAAGCAACAACCAATGTCAGTAATTTCCAGAATGTCATCAGTGCAAAACAAGCTTTTTCTTTCAGTCAGCACAAATTGTTATGCATTTCGATGTGTCATTGGGCTAGACACTATACACAAAACATATTAGCAGTTTGTATGACCTGCCATTATTGTATGAATTGGTTAAAAGTAAGCATGTAGTATAAAACGTCAGAAAACTGGAAAGGTGCTATTTAAAAACAACTCCCTTTAACACACACAGTTTTCTTTCTGTCCATCTTTAGTAGTACCCCTCAATGCAGTGTGCAATGCCTCAACGTCTCAACGTGGGCGGGAGGTCAATGTGGGCGGAGCTCAACCTTTCTCAACCTTTGAGGCACGTGACGTCCCGACTCCCGTGTTGTGTACTTACCCAGTCACAAAAGTAACATATTATATCTTATATTATTAATATATATAATAGGGATGTAACGATATATCGAATATCGCGATATCGTGGTAAATAGAGGTCTCAATACCGTCGTGAGACTGACAAAATCTACCGCGATTTTTATTTTATTTTATTTATTTTTTTATTTTTTTATTTTATTTTAAAACATTTATTTAACCAGATGGTCCCATTGAGATCATCGATCTCTTTTTCAAGGGAGACCTGTCCAACATAGCAACAAGTAGGTTACAACATGAACATAAAATAACAGATAACACAAAAGGACATCATATTTACAGGGCTACATGTACATACCTAGAGACATTATATCAGTATATCTCGCCCTGTCAATAAGCCTCACCTTCTTGGCAAAAACGGTATTGTTTTTGAAGTGGTGGAGAGACAATGCACAGTTTTACCCACTGCTGTCACCCATGGCCAAAGCATATCTCTCTGTCCCAGCAACATCAGTATCAAGCAAGAGAGTTTTTTCCACAGCAGGGGATATTGCGCCCAAACATCCCAGCTTCTACCTGGAAATGTGGACATGCTCATATTCCTAAAAGATAACCTTGATGATGCTGAGTGAGTGAGTTAGAGTTGAGTTACTTGAAAAACTAAAGTGAAACTTTATTTATTCTATTGCAGGGTCTGATTATTATTATATTGTTGACACTATAAAATACTACTATCCTACTAAAATGCTGTATAAATCAGATTTATTATTTAATGAAGAAAAACAAATTAAAGTACATTTTTATTTTTCAATATCGCGATAAATATCGTACCATGGACTTTTTATCGCGATATTATTGTACCGTGAGTTTTTGATATCGTTACATCCCTAATATATAATGATACCGGTAATATAATGATACCTTGAGGTCAGTGTTCAACCTTTGAATGGTGTTTGATCCAATAATGACTGTAGTCACAACACAAACTCCTTGTCACATGTTCGCCAGAGAGTGGGAAAGTTTGCCCATGTCATGCCACGTTTTGTGTGCCTTAATGTGACAGTGCAGGTAGAGGGTGACAGTAATCAAGGATGTTGTTCAATGCAGTTTGCAGATCCTGTCTGTTCACGCACCAGGTGCAATATAGATAATGAAGCACACAGTCACCAAATTTAAACAAACATTTAACTAGAAGGAACTTCCAGGGTGCATACTTCCGCCAGGACTATATCTCAAAATGTTAATGAAAGAGAAAAATAAGTGTGTATCCTCCCTGGGATTTGGCTCAACTTCGTCTTTCCTAGTTACACCTTACCGCCAAGTTTTATGAAAATCAGTCCAAGTAGTCTTGTCTATAATCATGTTGACAACTAAACCAAGCAAACAGAAAGCATGACTTCCTTGGCAGAGGGAAATGGTTTCATTATATAAATACCAGCAAGAACAAAGATATTTCCAAGCAGATAATCTGTCTGGCATCTTTAATATAAAAAAAAATCAAAAATCAGGGAAACATTGTCCATAAACTTTGACTTTTGAGCACCAATCATCATTGATGTAAACTCAGTCTGAATCCTAATGTCCCACTAGGGTCCTGTGTTCTATCGCAAATACAACATTTAACCAAAAAGGAAAAAACCATCACTACAAACATACATCACAACAGACACTATGAAGAGTGGATAATAAACTGCAGGTTATTTCATAGCTTACTTTTACTTAAAGCATTTATCCCAGGTACACTGAGACCTACTTATAACCCAAACTGATCTTAAAGACTGAGGAACAAAAGAGTTCATCAAGCTGATACTTTAAGTACTCTAAATACAGTTTGAAAACTTGACTAAAGCATTTGAAACACACTTTTTGAGCAGAAGTTCCTTAACAGCTTAGCTTAAAGATGGAGAAGCCCCTCAATGCAGTGCGCAATGCCTCAATGAGCTCAATGTGGGTGGGAGCTCAACGTGGGCGGAGATTGTAGGAGCAAACACAATATCTGTGGCTTAAAGCCCACCTGTGCTCCGCGCCGTCCGTTAGATGAGCCTGGTCAGATTGATAAAAGAGGGAGTTCAACACACCGGCATAAAAGTTATAACAATAATCTGATTTTAATACAGTAAAAAACACAATACGAAATACAGAGTGCCCTGAAACAGAACACTCCGGGCTCCCCGCTCTACTGCCGTGCGATACAGATATCGGGACCAGCCAGTCAGAAACAGGGGGCATTTTGCATGAAGAAACAACAGTATATATAGACATATTTGGGGCGGAGATGTGTGTCAGCTCTTCCGTCCCATTTTACTCCTAAGCGAATTAGAGTTCTGGGGAAAAGTATCTTTCTTCTGAACAGAGCGTGACAGCATCGGAACTATACAAGGTCAGAATCACTTTGTATCTTATACCTGGGTTAACTCCTTTAATTTCCCAGGGAAGATTTCACACCAACTATTCTTTTAAAACAATCAAACATTGTACACAGAAATATTGGTGCTTCGGATTATTCCCAGCAAGGAACCTTGAAAAAAGAACATGTGTGTGTGTTAGTGAGGGAAAGTGTATGTGTGTGTGTGTGTGCATGCTGATAAGCAGAGGCATATGTGTGTGTGTTGCTGATATCTGGGTTGAGGAGTTTATGTGTGTGTGCTGCATGAAGACAGGAGGGGGTGTATGTGTGTGTGTCAGGGTCTCTGGGTCATGGAGTGTAAGTAAGAAGGTTTAGATATATAGGATTACTTTAAACAGTCCCAACTAATACATGTTCACTTCAATACAGTTCAAGATAATACCTGTTTACTTTAATACAGTTTAGAACAATATCTGGGTGCTTTAATCCCTCTTTTGATCTCACCTTCAGAGATCAATTTATACACAGCATTTGAAACATAACCTACTGTCATTCTTTTCTACTGTCTGTTCCCCAACATTTATATAAATCCATCAGAAGCTGGGATTTAGAGCACTTTAAACCTTTAGGAACAGTCCATCATAACAACTTTTAATGACAGTGGAGGGAGACCAAAATATGTTAAAAATTGTCCTTGTCGGCTGAGTCGTCGTGCTCGTCCCCCTCCGACGCGTAAGCCAGCAAGGGCATTTGGTACGAAGGGGAAGGGGCAGCTTCTCCCTCAAAAAATGGGATAGTGAAACAGAGTTCCTCAAAAAATGGGATATTAGAACAAAGTCCACACCGGCTATATCAACCTGTTTCAGCGGAGAGTGGAGGCCCCTGTGCCGTCTTGGCTTGCCGTGTCTTTGTCCCCCCGATCCGCTGACGGCGGCTTCTGGGCTGCCTGCTAGAGAGATGTCTTCCCGATGCTCCTTCTCCGGCCCGCTGATGATGTCCTCCCGATGCTCCGGCCCGCTGATGATGCCTCCCGGTGCTCCGGCCCGCTGATGATGCTTCACGGTGCTCCGGCCCGCTGACGACGCCTCGAGGTCCTTCTCCTCCAGTCTGCTGATGACAGCTTCCGAGTCGACCTCCTTGACGAGAGCCAGATCCGTCCTGATGTCGTCCCCTGGTCCTAGCAGGTGGTTTCCCCGCCGCACACTGGCTCCAGCTGTCCCCCTTTCCTCCTAGACGGACGGCAGAGATCCGCTGGGTCACTCGGTCGGGGCCGGAGAGCCTGGGGTTGAGCCACTTTGTCCTGATGACCTTCAGCCAGACGAACTCCGCTGTGTCGGCCTCCTGGGTCCCTCTTTTGGCGCCAGCAACCTGTGTGGAGAAATCTGATACAAATCCCTCAAGCCTACGCTCAGGGCTCCGGGGCCCTCAGCTGTTTGACCCACCACTGCGTAGGGCTTGGAGCCTGTTGGTGGGGTGTCTTAAAACAACAGCCGTAGCTCAACTTCTTCAGTATTCCATTCTGGAATTACATCAGTAGCCCCTTGGCCACTGATTCTGCATCTGTGTTATCTGCTATAACTCAATCAATATTAGAGACATGTCAACATTCACCAAACAGTATCTTATCCCCAGATATGGAGCAGGTCAATTCTAAAACTGTCAATCAATGGTCAGACACTCCCCCTTTTTTACACATGAACCCATGTGTAACAAAATTATGTATGGGAAGAAAACCTTCAGGTAATAATGGATTATAAGAAAATACCAAACATTATCCACAAATGTACATCCATCATTTTCCACAGTAAACACTTCAGTGAAATTAAGTGTTTCTCTCCATCCTTCAGTCCTAAAAGAAACAGAATCTTCATGTTTTAGTTTGAGTTTCACATTCTGCAAACAGCCACTGTCTGTGGGAGTGAAATA